TCTCAAATTAAACATAGATTATTGAATACAGCAAAGAACTCCTACGAATTTTGCCAAAAAATAAAAGGCAAAATTTTGATTGGAAACGAACTATTGGGGAGCTTTGGTGTACAGTCTATGCATACTGCTATCTCAGGAGAAAAAGTGTCATGGCATAACTGGGGATCTTGGAAAAAGAAGATGACAGCCTTGCGACGGAGCGAATCCGTAAAGAATATCTAACCCGATTAATCAACCTAACAATAATAAAGATCTATTTCAAGTTCAACGACCGCATCTATGAGGAAATATTTGGTCTGCCTATAGGCTCACAACTCTCAGCTCTGTTGGCTAATGTCCTCATGAACAAGTTGGAGGAGAACTTAAAAACATCACCCCAGCAGCCAACAATAATTATGTGATATTTGGATGACTTCTTCGAAATTTGGTTGGATTGAAGAGAAAAATTGGACGATTTCTTGACCTTCATAAACAAAATGGATGAAAAGGTCAAATGCACTATAGATGTATGAGAGAATGGACACTTATCTTTCGCTTTTATGTGGAGTTCATTCGTTCCGAGTAAACTCTCAAGAAAGGACTTTTCTGAAAGAAATCGCATGCTGGAATAACTCCTAACTTCCAATCTAGACAGACTTATAGGATGAAGATTTGAATACTGCGGAGTATGTTAATAACAAGCTTATGACTCACTGATTCTGAGTTCTGAGAAGAGGAACTGAGAAAACTAACTTAGAAGAAGAAGTAGTACAACGCAACATACGGATAGCGATGAATAGATGGAAGGACGCAGATTATGAAAGGCAAGCAAAAAATAGGAGTGAGGAGTAATTCCACGATGGTTGAACAGAAAAATGATCAAGGGGATTGCCTTCACTTTTCAATTTCATAAGTTGTAACTCTGTGCTTTCGATGGCAGTAAAGCTACCGGCGAAATATTTGGGAATGTACCAATTTATAGTCCAATGCAGGAAATCACTAATGCTATGGCTGAGGACACGAGACTAGGTACGTTTCACAAGGTCTTCCTGACGCTCCGACCAAGTTGCAAAACAGGATCGAACCAAGACTATAAATATATAAATAAATAAATAAATATATATAAATATATATAAGGTTGGATGCTTTAGAATTTGTCAGGTTTTTTTGCATGTAAGCTGCCTAGTTTTGCCTCAGGGCAGACTGTCACAATCTAGTTGTCGATCAAATTTAATGATTACAAAGGATTATGAAAATATAATACAACCTTACCAGTTATTTGGTATTTGGGCACTTCAAACCACCAAATATTGTGGCGAGTTGAGGTTCAAACGACAAACGCATGCAAGTAATTTAGCACAAATAATAAATTTGTGCTCACCTGAACTTAATTCTACGATCGTCCTTAAGGGGTTGTAGAGACTTCAATGTTTCCATTTTAGCACTTTACTCTTTCATCTGGATATAGATTGGTAGTGAATGTTGCAAATCAGTTGATATTTTTTATGAACTTCATGTATCGGCCATCAAATAAAACAACCAATTTTGACCACCTGTCTTATAACCCTTACTCAAGCTACTTCATATAGATAAAAGCTCCTTATTTTGTTATGACAAAGACAAAGAGATATCATGTGAAATATAAGGTCAAATTCAATAGACATTTGGCATCGAAAGGGTACACCAGAACCAAGTTTACATAAGCAGCCAATAAATTGTGATAGAGAAGGAGGATGTAGGATAGGTGAATATACATAGAAAGAAGGAGAGATACCACAGCTGTTTAGCAGACAATTGGTCAAAAGATTGATTTTACTTGTCTCTTTGAAGAGTTATAACGTGGTGCTAAGAATTGCAATACTCACCGACGAGGCAGACTGCGATGCCGCCAAAATGTCTGGGAATGTATCAATTCAACGATCCGACTTTGGAAATTACCATGACCAATATGAATTCCGGACAATGTTCATTCCTATTTGATTTCCTGAATATACTTCCAAGTTGCGTAAACAAGGTAAAACAACTTCTATACAACGAAAGGAAACCGTGGCCATATCATCCTGGTCTTCATACCTTCGATTAACGTACCATAGTTAGAGCCAAAGTCTCACTTTACTTTTAAATTAAAAAGATTTTTAATCCTTGATTCTATCCGTCACGAGCACAATTGAATTACTACTAATATAATTAATTGCTGTTGACCAAGGTTAGCGAATAAAAGGACCTCTAGTTACTTTACCTAATGTCACCCTGATCAAATGTTTTGCAAATTTAATTTATGTACCTCTGCAACAGCAACCTTTGAAGATGATCTGCTTAGCTCTTGACGTCGGTGAAGCTAAGATCTAGAAATCTGTGACTTTTAACACCTTTTCAGGACACATGGAACAGTAAAATACTTTGGCTAAAGCTAGTATTTTCTTCAAATTGTCACATTACACTCAAATATGGGCACGTAAAACATCAATAGTGCGTCATTACTTTAAATGAGGTAATCTCAGCATCGTCATCCAAACAGTTTAGAGTTAGTTATCTTCTCGAGAGATATTCATAAAAAGTACTGGCTACTTGGCTTTTGCCATAACTGCCAATCATTGATTTCATTTTCTGGACACATGCTGTAACCGCGGTTTACTTTATATGAATATCCTTGGTGTTACCCTGTCTATGATTACCAATACCTTTAATTATTTTAGCCGCTTTGAAAAAATAAGTGACTAGTATATGTAGAGTTTAGAGCTTCAAAGGAATCGCTTTTTTTTCACTACATATAATAAAAGACTTAAAATTACACCTTTTTCAAGAGACCTATAGGTAATGTTTAAAGAAGGGAATATTCTTGATTAAGTCATTCCATATTGATAAGCATTTTTTTAACTGGTTCATAAGTGCTTTTGGTAAGGAAGAAGTTCAAGCCATTATAAATATCACATTTATTGAATAAACTTATTCAGATCCTATTAGTTATTCTTCAAATATCCACTTAAAATGGAGAAAAATTAAAGCGTGGAATAAAACGTTTGTACACTTAAATATTTTCCACATCCAGGTGTTTATGAAAGCCTTTATACTTAAATAGAGAGAAGGAAATCAGAAGCTGCTTATATACATTTGTATAGATAGACAAAAGGAAATTTTTCATCCGACTGCGCGTTCCTACCTCAGTTAGGTGAAACACTTCTGCTGGATGGAGAAGACTTGCGTCCGACATAAGTAATCACGTAGTAAAATATTCTGAAAGGCCACCATAAGGGGTATAGGGTAGAAAGCGGAGACAATCAAGGCACATTTTCCAGATGGATAGTGAACATTACATCATGGAAGGCTGTGTTTAACACTCTTGAAGAGTGCTCTGCCTTTCTGTACTAGCTTTATGATAAGGCGCTTAGGCACAGATACAGTTTGATTAATTTTAAACGGTGGTTGACAGAACTTTCAGTTATGTTGATAAGCTGATAAGCGTACCAAAAGAAGTGAAAAGTAACTTGCAAAAAATAATTTTTGAGTCAGGCGTTGCAATGAGGTACTGACGAAATTTACATGTCCTTTACTTCTGCCGCAATTAAGACATAGATTGGGGATTACATCAGAAGAAAAAGAGCTATATATCTGAAGAATATCGAATGAAAAATAGTGTAGTGGGATCATTGCTGCTGAGCTGTGCATCTTCACGTAATCGTCTATACGATATGTTTATTGGCACGTGAAATATTTTATACAGACTGCTAAATGGGTTATATTTGAAAAGGAAATCTCTCCTGGCCGCTTAGTGCTTAACCGGTAAGACAGTTCAGCCCCAGTCACAATAAGTCATAAGCCCTTAAGCGGCTTAAGCTATCAGAAAATATCTATATTTATGCGAATTCTGAAAAGATATGTATATCTAATGGAGTGATTGTAAGTAAGAAGGAAGAGAGGATGCATAAAATAAATATATCTCGAAAGCTTGTGTGGCAACGATAAAGCATCAGTGCTATGCTTAATTCTTCATACCATGGCCATTATCATTATTCCACACTCAAAGAAGACTAGATAATATTGGATTCAAAGTGCTGTTTGACGTAGCTTCTACACAAAATTATCATTTAGCTGCTAGAACGGGCTGAATATGGGGAGTAGAATGGTTTCTGTGGTGGAGGAATAGCATAAAATGCCACTGACGTTGAGCCTTCCTCGTGAACTTTGGCCGCATTACCGACATTTTCTCGTTCCAGACTTTCTGAGCTCGTAGCGGACCTGAATGGCTTGCAGATCAATTTGTCAGAACTCGCGCATCCGATTCGTTCCCTTCCTGACATCTGTGAAGGGCAAGCATAAAGAAAGTTTCTATCATCCAAGGCTGTGCCATCGGAAACTCTTGATTTAAGTTGAGTTTCGACGTCGTGACAATTCCACACGTTCACCAGGCTCCGGGATGCTCCAATAAGTTGGCCTCCTTCTGGGTGTCGAGGGGGACCTGCCAGTTCACAGTATTGCCTGCTTTCGTGATACCCAAATGCCCTGGTAGATCCATCAACTTGGTCAGAACAGCTCAAATCTGATCTAAGTCGTTTTCGGCCAAACTCTGGAGGGTCGACTTCGACCCTGTTGATTGAAGGCAATGATCCTTGTAGCTGTGGTCTAGCCATGCTTTCCGAGGAGAGACGATGCGTTCTAGTATTCGGTTGTTGTGAGTGTTGACAATTGCAGTGTTCGTAAGGGATACTTTGGATGGGATAATTTGAATGGCGCAAATGTGGCTGGAGATATTTCTGGGGGTAGCGAACATCATCATGCACACATCCGGTAGGCAGCGACCCCTTATTATAGGAGAGAGAGTTCATGTCTTTAGTGGGAGTCTTTTCAGGTGGGATGTAAGGCAAGTTTTCGCCCAGAGAATCCAGTGACTTACGGGTACCTCTCTTATCATCAAGGTGTGTATTCGAAGAAATGCTCATTAACGAAAGGGATCCAGTTAGACTGCGGGAGGTTATTTCTGGAAGACTACTCAAATTTTCAGCATCACCCGCCCGGATGCTATAGCCCAGTGGCACTCCGGACAGGCCAGTTGGCGGATTTAGCGATGAGATTGAAGAGTTGGCAATGCTAGCGAGGTCGCCCTTAACAGAGCGACAGCCTCTCCCGTTGCTTGCATACCTTGCTGTACAAATGGTTGCTGAGGTACTCACGCTAGGCTGTGCTAGGTCGGATCCCGTACAAACGGAGGATATACCCTGGGGATCAGCAGCATCACGGCGTCTAGCAGCGAAGCCGTCATGTAGGAGTTCGGTTCTAGGAGCCGAATTATCGGTGGAGAGCAGAGAGGCTTCTTCATAAGTGCTTGTCGAGCTGGTGTCAGCAGGGGCACGCAAAAGAGCTGCCGCTCCACTTCCGACCACCTTCCGGCTGAGTCCACTTTGTCCACGATGCAATGGTCGGCCGGCAGGCGGGAATGCGTGGAAATTCCCACCAGTGCTACTGCTCTGTTGGCCAAATGACCTATAGAATGGATGGTATTGATGCTGTGTTGGATCGATGGAGAGAAGACGACGGGCAGCCGAGTTCGCAGCTGCGGCTGCATGATAGCGCATTCGCGTTTTCTGGCGTAATCTAGCCCGATAGACTGACATGCTGTCAAGTTCTGAGTCCTTAATGCTGCGGCCTAAAGCATAAAATAGAAAAAAGTTGTAATCCATACAAAAATAATATGCGCAGCTTATGCTTTAATGAATTATTTTTGGCCAGAATGAATAATTTTTCCAATGGCCCAATATAAACGGTGAATATTGAGCAAGGCGAAAATAAGAGCAAGCATACTTTTGGCAAATATTTTGTTTATAATTAGCTTTTATGGATCTGAGCAAGCAGGAAAACTAGAACAATTTCAAAGTGTGAAAATTTGCATGAAAAGCATACAGAAGTTGAGCAGAATATTGTTTTTATCGGAAACTTGCTAAAATCTGCATTGAGCGCTACAACTCTTGTTATAAGGACTATGAAAAAAACAAATTTAACCTCGAAAAATCTTGAGTTTAAAATCAGGGCAAAAAATAAAAGTAAACTGAGTAAAATGCAAACTTACGTAGACATTTTACAAATAGATGCCGATTTGAATTAATAAAGCTAAGCTCTAGTGATGGCTGCAATAGAACAAAGCACAAAATAACCTAGTCATAATGCATTGAACTATAGTAAAAGTGACTGACATTTGGAAAATTAATCATGCATAAAATGCAATTAGATGCTACTTAATAAATTAAGTCATTGGTGAATTTTGAAATGGATTATACAATAGTTTTAGTTATTTTTTCCAGATCTTTGCATAACTTCTAAAAAACTTTATTCCAGACATTATCTCCTTTTTTAGAGTAGAATCGATCTCTCTTAGGTTACAATTTAAGTTTCCTTGAAAAGCAAGCAGAAAATTCGCATTATTCCTTTCCTAAATTACTCAAGCAATCGAGATACGGCTGTCATCGCATGAATAAAATCGAAAAAGGCTGCTATCAGTCTTGCGCTGAGTCCGAGCATTTCCCCCCCAAATAGTCAAGACTTAGAGATCCAATGTAGCTTGAAATATTAGCTCAGAATCTCAGGAAGTTCATAGATGACCTAAATTCTCGATAAATGTACTCAGAAGCTAAAATGCATTCAC